GAGATTCGTCAGCGACCCTTGCCGGTCTTGTTTAGACTTAGACAAACTGGTGAACTAGAAATAGAAACCACCAATAAACCCTGACAGGACACATGATTCAGACTTAAACTTAGTTTTTTTCCATTGACCAATGTACAACAAGTGCGTTTACTACTTATAACCGATCTCTCCAGCCCAATAGAGGAAAAACAAAAGGACAATTCATTCGGCAGTCATTGTTCCATAAAAAAGCCTCAGTGATGTGATGGTCAATTCAATGTTTCGCATTCACTACTTTAAAATAGGAATCAAACATGGAATATTCAAAGAGCTTGTTGCTTTGAAAAGACTAAATGTTTTCTTACTAGGAAAAGCATTCTGTGATTGATACTGTTCAAACAACCAATTAAAATAAAAATTCAAGCACCAAACTGATAGGCCTACCCTTGAATTAAAAAGATCTATCTGCTCAGTGCCTAATTTTGAGAAATTTGACTTCAAACAGTTTTTAAAAATACCTGAGCAAGACACTATTTTGACTAGACTGCTCCTGGGGTACAGTATTTGTAAAAGCCTTTGGTTTTTTTACAATGGATCAATATGATATCCTTCAAACCAAAGCAAGTTTTTCAAGAGCACTCAAGGCAGTAAAAGCACAATACAAGCAGGGGGGCAGATGAGTTTGAACACAAAGACTTATTTGTACCACTGTAAAAGTACACCTTGAGACCAAGAAAAAGTCTCTTCACTGACTAGACGAGATCCCCGGACCATGAGTTGTCCATCTCTTTCTTTCATTTTCATTTACACAAATCAATATCATCCATGGCACGACCATGGATATAAAACAGAGATAATATATAAATATAATAAACAAACATTTGAAGTTAGCATGATTGACAAAAACAACTGAGGTTGACGTAATCAACAAATAATTAAGGTTACTATAACCAGCCAACAACTAAAGCTACGATAACCAGTAAACAACTGAAGTGACTCACCCGCTAGAGCCTTGATTCTTGACCTCTCAAAAAGCTTGGAGGAGTTGTTAACCGCATCGAAGTCCTCATCTACTACTCCAGGGTCCCATCGGACATTGTTGACCAGCGACTCAATCTCTGTCATTGTGCGTGTGTGTTCAGTGCACCCCCTCACTCATTCATTCACCACCACGATCCTAAAAAAATGCAAGACCTGATGACTTGAGGTAAAATCTTAACAATGCAGGAAGGAACATTGTAACAATTGTGAAATTGCTGAAAAACAGCAGCACTGAAACGTTTTGTAGATTCAGTTCTATTCCTTTTGCAGTAAAGGAACAAATGTATATTAAAACCACAAAGGTCCAATGAAATGATTACAGAAGTGAAATAAGTATTACAATCATTTCAATTAATCACATTATTTAAATAGCATTATTACAGAGAAACTTTTATAGCTTAATTTCTCTTCAACTCAATTTTGTTTTTTACAATTAGGAGCTATACTCCACATTCATCACTTATTTGATTTTTTTTTTAAACTTCTCAGCTATTCTGTGTTCTTATGACATGAACTTTTTGAAGGTTTCCTTTAACAAAATTCAGCATAAAAAAATATTATGACATATTATAACAGTCTATGATAACATTGCTTTCAATATGTCTAATTTTTCATTCAGCACCATCAACTGAGAGCACCAGTGTGGACAGTATCCGGCCAGAAGTGTTCCAGCCCTCCACAAGAGAACACAGTGCCCTTCATCTTCATCCCATCTGCAGCAGTTGGCATTTAGATGTGTGCCTATGATCCAACAGTGTATAGTGTAATATGGACCACTCCATAAGCATTGTGCATTATTACTCAGCTATAAAGGTCAACAAGTTGTTCTGCTAGCTGTAACAGTTAAATTACGGACAAGTCTCACTCCATGAACTGAACTGGAAACATGTCTAACATACTATACAGAAATATCTGTAAATGGAAGACGGAAAAATAAAATTAATTCTTAAAAGTCCATTCGTATTCTTTACTTTTTTTTAAACAGGAAGTGGGGGTAAAACTATAATTCTAAACACACATGATGGTCCCATGTGACTAAAATTGCAATGTTTATTAAATTCATGGGTATAATGACAGAGAAATCAGTAGGACTCAAGCCACAAAGAATCCAAAATGATGATTCTCTTTACTCCCTCCTCCCAACAATAATAAAATACAATAATACAATATAGCGCTAGGCGCGGCCCCTCTGTATGTTTCTGATCTACCTGACGATTTACCAACAGATGTCTGACAACGGTACCACTTGACAGTCGAGTATCTACTACAATCCACAATACTAGAAATGTTCCATCTGAATCTGCATTAAAGGAGTAATTAGTTGCTTTAAAAATGTTCTGTGGTTGTATTTTTGGTTTGCTTGTGGTCTTTTTGCTTTTTTTTGGGGGGGGGCTGACCCCCTCCTGATTCTTTTTAAAGTAGTGCATCAGGATATGGAAGTTAAATATTACAGTTGAAATTGTGTAAGTTGGCCACCCACTGTCAAAGAGAAAAGTGGTTATCTTGGACAGGTGGCCATCTTGTGTAGTGTTGTAATGTAAAAAATACCCAAACCCATACACACTCAGTGTATTGCTTTATTATGATTATTTAATTGTCTGAATCTTACGTTAGAAGTCACACTTCACTCTTGACAATATCTAATTTTATCAGTGGTTATTCTTCGGCGTAACGCCGGTCAATAGATCTATGGCTATTCTCCGGTGTCACGTACAGTTGCACATGTCAGTGATGCCACTCAACTTTTCTGAAAATAGCGCCACGATCTCGTAAACATGAATATCAATTTGAAACCCAAAGGGTGCTGAGATTAGCGCAAATCTTCCACGTTTTTTTTCTCCCCGTTATTTGAACTTATATTATGGCGGAGTCTTCGTTTTTCTGTTACCTGAACATCTGGCACGTTGTGCGTGTGGGGGTTTTTTTTGGTTGTTGTTTTTTTTCCAACTATTGATTCTATCTCGATCTCAATTATAACGGAATAGCGGATCAGGATCAATATACCATATATATGTCGCTTCTCCACAGCTTTTCATCTCCCATGTCGGCACGTTATGGCCTTACAAAAACACTCATCAGGGTCGACATTTCAGAATGCAATTCACCATAGGTTGACACGCAGCCACTACTCAATGAAAGCTCCAGTGACGGAAGGAGGAGGAATTTCTGTATCAAGAGGTGACAGAACCAGAAGCGCCAACAACCCTCAGTCACAACCAGAAGTACAAGAAGGCGCATCTGGCACTGAACTCAGTTGCAATAATCTGCAGCAATAATAATGGACATAAGTGTCGACAGGGGATATATGGAAAGCTCTAGAGAAGCGACATACATGTGCAACTATTCGTGACGCTGGAAAATGGCCATCGATCTATTGACCTGCGCAACGCCGGAGAATAGTCACTTGCTTATTTTTAAGAAAAAGACAGAAAAGATTATAACAACAACCCAACTGAAGGTGAAAAATAGAAAAATGAGAAAGACAATTTGCAAACGACAAATTCTGTGAATTTGCTCCCCTGGACGCCCTGGTTGCTGGAAAATATCTAGGTTACAAGGCATTTATAACTTAAAGTACAACAGACTGTGTTCGTCAACATAAATATAACTCCACTCCACTCACAATTGCACCTCCCTAAAACAGAGTTTTATTCTGCACCAGGAACACAGAAAACAATCTCTTCTAGTTCATTTATTTATAGTGTAGAAGTGACTGGAAAGATGCGACAGAGCGCAACTTTATCAAACCTAGAACATAAAAATTGCCTACATTCTCTCCAAACACCAATTCAACCATAACAATGATGAGAGCAATTTAAAAGGCTATTATCAGAAATTCTGAGAAACTACCTAACTTTATCCCAATTTAAAGTGTATGTTTTCAGCCACTTGCCCCTTCTTTGGGTTAATGAATGTCATCTTGAAAAACAAATACTTTTAAAACAAATAATTCTTTAAAAAGCGTTGATTTGTCATTTTTAAAAATATTGTCAGTCACTGAGAAGGGATAATAAAAAGTACGTCATGCTAAAAAATGTAGCAGCAAAATCACAGAAACGTTTCATATCACTCTGCACAAAGTCTGAATATGTTGAGCATGCAGTTTCTTTAGAAATAAAAATGATAACTTCAGTTCAAGAAGGTAGTTCAGTCCAGACACTTGTCTTGTTTCTATTTCCCAAACACGAGCACTATGATTATGAGATAGACAGACTAAGAATGACAGCATTTCTTTTTAACTCGAGATTCACTCTGACAGTTCAGGAAAAGAACTGGTTGGGATTAGAACTGTCAAGAGTTACCTTGTCACAAACTCCCTCAAAAGCTCAAATGGGGAAAACAATTTACATTACATTAACACGTGTGTGTAAATTATAAAATTATCTCTCAAAAATAGACTGTCAAAAGCAGCCGGTTTTTACCATAACAAAAACTACAACTATAAAACCCAACAAAAGAAACACTCTGAACTAAATGGGTAATCAACTCTGTTGTTTACAGTGATAGCCTATTGAAAAAATGAAAAAAATCTTCAAAATGCGAACTTCCACACACTACGACATGACATTATCATATTATTCACTTGCTTCCTCCCCATGCACACTCACATTCACACACACTTTATTTACCATTCCAACTCCACTTTGTTTTGTGCATATTTATATATATATATATTAATGATAATAATGATAATAATAAATAACAATAACAATGATAAATAATAAAATAATACAATATTTATTTAATAGTTATAATAACAAACGGCACTTGTATAGCGTAGCGCATGCATAGTAGTGCTGGGCAGTACCGGCGAATCCCAGTGTCTGTACTTTCTCGGCACCCATACTGGGAGTGACACAAGGAGGTGACGTCAAAGACTGTGCGTCTCGCATCTAACGCAACGATCTGCGCTACCCGCAAACACAAACAAGTCATAATTGGAGAGGCGATCTGCGACACAAAATACCTTTAAAGTTTGACGCCGCGCGGGATTAAACTTTGCGTGCAGAATTTTAAAACATTTTTTATCACAGCTAGATCTAAATATTGATTTCATTTTCGGAATCAGCGCATCAAAATAAGCAAAGTGGCTTGCCATATATAAATTTAAGCAAACTTTGTTTTTGATTGTTTGTCAATTTTGAATCTGAAGGTCACCCGCTGCATTGTGCATCTGACGTCACAGCTGCTAGGCCTAGGCTTATGCCTACACACTGCACACTTCCCGTGGCCCGGTAAAAAACTGTTGGTGTCTGCTCCTTCCCAGAGCCGATACTGGAGGCCTGGTGCCGGTACTGACACCTCCCTCGGTAGAACTGAGAGTTTCGGTTCTGGGTACCGGTACCTGCCAATCCCTACTAATGCATAGCCCAACTCCACAGCATGCTCTTTGCTATGCGCTTTACACTTTATTATTTATTATCACCACTACACTAGACTCTATATTATTGCACAGAAATATGGTTTGCAAATGTAATAATATAGAATAGACTACATTATATCTTTTCTTATTTCAACATTGTTTTTTGTATCATAGGAGAAGCATTTTGGCAAATGACACAAAATGAAAAGGTGCCAATATATCGTAACCAAAGCCAAAGGCCTCTATAAAAAATCTATTAGATTTTCTAGGCCTATTTGTCACAACATGGAATTGGTGATTGGAGCAGGTGCAATGTAAACTAGATCTACCTGGACCACTGCACCTTCGCTGCATGCATAAAAAAGTACACATTTCATTACATGTCAGATGTCACAGATTTCATAGAAAGTCTAGATAGATCTAGATCTAATCTAGATCTAGCTTAAAAAGACAAAAACAAAACAACCAACTCTACTTTAGTATAGATCTAGATATCTAGATCTAGATCTAGATCTAGAGTCTAGATAGAGCCTAGAGATCTAAATCTAGACTACAATCCTATATTATATATATATAGATCTATATATGGAGTACAGAGACCTATTCCTATCTTGGCTGATTAATTATTAATCATCTTGATCTATCATAAATAGGCCTCTATAAAAATCAATATTACAAAAAATTTTGTCCCGTATGGCCTACAGCCAGCGTTAACTATTTTGGGTAAAGGTGAAATTCAGATTCAAGATCTAAAATCTAGATAGACCTTCACCTTGATAGTGTTGCCTTGTAACGTTAGGCTATCTAATTCAAAATTATTTCAGTTCCTCAGTTCGGGCGATTTATTTATGAGTCATAGAAAAACAGCCTACGGTTGACAAACATTTATGTGACCACTGTCGTAAGCCTAAAAATGTATTGAAGAAGAAAAAAGGTTTTTGAGTATTGTTATTACCTGGGTAACCGGACAAACCTGAATGTGTTACTGTTGCAGCGTCAATTTTTATGTTCTGCTAGGATCTAACCATCAAACGCGGAAGCGGCTGAGACTCGCTATCTCTATGGACGCTTGCCAACCGGCGTCATATCAAGACTGAATACGTGGTCACTTCGAAAAAGAATGCTTACATAATGTATGTTTGTAATAGACTTATAACACACAAAGCACATGCAATATCAACTTTCAATAACTGGTTCCTACTGATCAAAATACAAGGAGCCCTTTCTCCAGACACCCGAATCGAAAACACACCGCCATTTTGAAGGGCATTTCCCCCTTGCAGTGATCAATCGCATCAGGTTGTAATCCTAAAAACGCAACAGTTACACATTGAAGTCAAAATAACCTTACCTGGAGGATAGGATCGTATGTGAAAACTATGTATATCCAATGTTTTCTGGAGCCACCCAAATACTGAACTAAAATTCACACAGGGCTTGCAATAAGCAAGGGTTGCAGAAGATTGCGGGAACCGACGCGAGCTCTCGAAGGGAAGTATAGAATGGTATTGCTAACAGAATGATAAAGTAGTCCCAATATACTTATGATCTATCGAAGCATAAAACATTAATAAAGCATACCCTGTTTTGTTCAAGAAATCCCAAAAGCTTTAGTTACAAAAAGTATTAATATCTAGCCCGTAAATACCTATATTCGGAAAAGGTGAGTCCGCGGAAGAATACACCTGTGTTTTTCTGACATTATTATGAGGATGCCCCAGACTCTGCGCACCTTGATGAATAATGCATTGGAATTTTGTGATGATCGCATATAGCATTATTGAACTTTAATTTTTGTTCAACGAATGATACATCCAGGGGCACACAGGCTAATGTTAGTCCTTTCAATGGGTTTGACTTCTCAGATAAACTGATGATAGTGTAATGCATTGAGGAGGGAAGCGCTTCGAATGTGTTTTAATGAACACCCATGACCATGCACTGGTTTGCGAGAAGCCGCCAGCCACACGCAATATCAACACACTACAGGGCAACAGTTATGGGCAATACTCTCCAGTTCCAGTGGATTATTTTATCAATGTCTTGCACACCCACTCTTAACAGGGTTTTTTTTTATGAGAGGCGATTAATATAATTACAGAACGAAAAATTAAACTATCAGAAACAAGTGTAGCCTATAAATTATCCAGATGCCAATTAATGATAGGAGAAAAAACAGCCCTAGGCCTAGCTGTTAATGCATGCATGCTTCCCACAAAAACATGGGTGTTTAAATAGCTCAGTAGATTATTATCTAGCATGCTCAATGTTTTCGTTTTTATGCTTATCTTTAGTTGCTGGTGTGTAAAATAAGTGGATACAAGTGCCCAGCTAATATTATGGGTCAACCAACTTTATTGTATCTAAAATGCATAGCCTAGCTATAGCCTGTAAAGGGCCTAATTAAAATAAAAAAACAAAAACAACAACACCACTACCGATAATTTTCAAAAAACACAGGTTTTTCTGTTTTAAAAATAAACCATGAAGACTGTCATCATATTGCGTCAAAGAAGCTTCTAAACAGGCATAGGCCTACTTATAAAGTTACGTGCGGCCCACACAGATGACCGCGTGCGAGCCTTGTTTGTTGACCACTTCACTGCACTTTAAACAATAATTACAGAGTAACATTGGTTATGAATGGAAGGTTTAAAAAATCAAGGCTATCTGTTTACAGAGGACACTGTCAAAGTGTGCGAGTTTCAGTAAAGACATGGACTATACTCTGCCAGACACGTGAGAAAATAATCAGACATTGTTACAACCTTTCTTGTCAGTTCGAATGAAGATTTTTTTAAAAACTGTGGTTGTTTTTACTCCCCCGTCGACATAATTTAGATCATATATGGAGGTGAGTTTCCAACACTGCATGTCGGGAACAACATGTGGTGAAGAGGGATACGTCCCAGCAGAAAAACCGAAATACTGGTATTCGATAAAAATGTCCTGCCCATTTGGGATGGGAATCGAACTCGGCTCATCTGCGTACGACAGCGAAGCGTCTATCCGCTACACCTCATACCCTCTGGTGTATGAAGATATTTTCTGTTGGTAATCATAGATATAATATAGCATTGCACAGGTTTTTTTCTCCAATATTTTGACGTAATGCTGGTAGATACTAAAAAAAAAGAACAAGAAGAATGTTTAGGAGTCAAGTAAGATGCTTGGAAAATCGAGGTTTGGGGGGGGGGGTGTTAAGGTGCTGAATTAAAGATGTCGTCCATCAGCGTCTGATGATGACCAGTGCATCTGCAGGTGGAGAATATTTATTAAAGTTAAAGAGATAATAGAAATAATTAGGTTAAGGTGATCAATTGTGCTTTCAGCTTTGACCAATAGACCATTTCTGGCAGAGAAGAGTTTGCCACTTTTTTAGCATTCAAAAGCTTCCTTTCAAAGTGAAGATGGACGCAGCTTGCAGGCTTTTCACTTGGCTTCAGTGCTTTTAATTCATGAAGCAATAAGCAATAAAAGCCTCTCGTGATTTGTTGCCCTCTGCGATAGCTACCCTCCTATCACTATCACAGTCTGTCAGGTTATTATAGATTCTCTCATGCAGAGGGATTAACAAACGGAAGTCCTTCCGTGACATTTTCAGGGTGTCGTTTGCAGCGTTTTATCGGAGCGCCAACTACGTTTCCCAGAGAACAGCTCAGAATTGAATACTGCCTTTGAGACTCTGAAATCAGGCATTCTAACGACATGATCAGCCTAGCGAAGTTGAGTCCTTTTGAGCAAAAAAAAACGGACTCTCGGTATTTGCCCTTTTGAGCATTTCTGTATCTGGTAGTTATTTTGTCCTACTATTTGATGCCTTGAATTTTCCTGAGACTATTTATGTGGAACTGATTAAGCTTCTTATATATAGTAGGGTTTGGCAACACAGTACAGGCCTCCGCACCAGGGTTAGCGGAGACAACACAGCATTGTTGACTTTCAACTTCGTATCTATGCGAATGCCACGACAGTCATTAACCCTTGCTTTGAGTCTGCCAAAAGATGCACTAGCTTTGGAACGTAAAGCTATATTTGCATCGATGAGGGCATTTAAAGACGGCTCACTGCCTAAACAACAACATTACATGTATTTATTTAAGCTATTAACGTTTTTCAGTCTCGTGTCATGTGTTTTGATTTAAGAAGAAGGGCGTGCGTTAGACCAGGGACATAAGCATTAAGCCCAACAAATGGTAATGTTCCTTTTTTTTTTTTGCTTCTCAGTTCACAGGTCTATGCGATGGTGTCACATTGTTCTTTATTCAGTGATCACTTCAGATTCTTGATTGATGTGGGCCAACCGACTGCGTACTCGTACTAAGCTTATTTATTGCAGTACTTTTTTCTTTGCTTCCCAGGACATAACCCAGGCTTATGTGATGATTTCTACAATATTTCAATAGGTGTAATTACTTTAGACTCCCCTTGCTTTTTGAGGGATCTAATCGTCAAAGCAAAACTGTTTCAATTACTTTCCTACTAACCATCACCGACAGTCTTATTACTAATTGACTAAGTCTTGTTTTATAACGTCCTGCTGGACACACTTACTACGTCATCTCAAAAACAGGCTGTTAGAAACTGATGAGTTAAAGTTTGAGTAAAGAGAAGCACATAGCCGACACCCCCCCCCCACCCCACCTAGAAAAACAACCCCCCCCCATGTAATTTGGTTACACGACGGTACATTGAAAAAGACAAGGCAGGTTGACAGAAACACAGAGGGGAAGAAAATAAGTCTGCAACCGCCAGTGGCGCCCTCTAACCACCTGCATAAAGAAGATGGAGGGGAACGAAGAAAAGGAAAAGGGCAGAGACGACACACAAAAGGAACTTTTAAATCGCGAAAGAAACACCTGAGCATCTTTAAAAATAAAAATGTATTTGTTTTTACGCACCATCAATACAATTTAGAAACATGACGATATACGGTACCTTACTCGAAAAAAAGTCTTCCCACATAGGAATCGAGCTTGTTTCTTCAGCATACGACAACGAAGTGCCTATCTGTTACGCCGGCCATCTGAGCATACCTGTTCATGCGTAGGCCTATAGTTTAAAAACAAGAGGGGAGAACTAGTGGTTCTATTACCCCTTGCCCCTCCCCCCAAAAAAAAACCCCAAACAAAACCCAGAACCCCCCCCCAAAAAAAACACACAAAAAAACAACCCTACCCTGCCATTCCCAATCCCCTATAAAGTTGGGGCTTAAGTTGTTTGCTTATTTGAGTACACAGCAGCACACAACAATGGTTTAGTGCTGGGAAAAAAAGTAAGACGATTTGCTCCTTATTTTCTATCAAACATCTATCGTCCTTGTCTCTCCTCCTTCTTTTTTGTATTTGTTACTCCCTTGTAACACCACTAATCTTCTTCACTATATGACCCCAGTGTTGCAAGTGCCGTAAAACTCTTACCAAAACTAAACAAAGTTGATGATCTGACAACAACATAAAAATAAACCGGAATGTAGAAAGTAAGTGACTCGCCAATGTCCAATGGATGTGGAAGAACGGCTACATCTACGTGTTCCATCTTGTTCGGGGAGCAGATAGACAATATTAGCACTCTCCAACGTACCCAGATCTTTTCAGAGGCTTTGAAGTTCGGTTTGATGTTTTATTCAATACTGTAATGACTCAACTTCGCTGGGCTGGCCACGTCGTAAGTCGTAGTAAGTAATGCCTGATTTCAGTATTCTTTTCTGAACTGTCCTCAGAGAAGTGTCAACTTGGTGCACCGAAAAAGCGATGCAAAGACACCCTGAATGTGTCTCTTGAAGGACTTCAACATGAATTCTTTGACATGGGACTGTCCAGCCCCTGAGGGACCAAGCTGGACAGCAGCAGTCACAGAGGGTAGCAAGTCATAATACATGTATGAGGCTTCTCAAATAAGAAATGCTGAAACTAAGAAAGAAGACAGCTAGCTGCGCACATCTTTGATTCTACTATTTTACTTTGGTCATTGTTAGACAATAAAGGACGAACTTTTATTATCATTATTATTATATATCATTATATAATTTAAAAAGTGGGACCTCCAATTTAACATAAATTTCTACAGCTTGAGCAAATGGTTCAGTCATCAGTAATGTTAATTGCATGAAATTGACAGTAAAGACATTTGCGTAAGCTTAGTAGAAAAGTGATGTGAACAGTGGAACAGCTGAAAATTCAAAAGTATTAAGCACACAAGCATACCAACACAAACACTCGCGCGCACACACGCACACACACACACATGGGCACCCGCACGCATGCACAGACAAGGACACAACATAGACCTACAGACAAAGATAAATGACAAAGAAAAAAATGAGAGGAGCACAAAGGACGAGTCAAGACAACTGAAGTTCCCAAAAAAAAAAAGTAAGAAAATAAAATAATATGGGAAAGATGGCATTGTTTAATTTTATTTTTCACATGGTACATAAGAAGATACAATTTACAGATCGACTTTGCAATTATCTGCAAAGATAAATGCCACAAGATATATTTGCTGTAAATGTGCATGTGGAATATAACTATCGGGATTTGAGAAGAGGTACAGAAATTATGGTTGGTTGCAAGTCTCCTTCAAACATTGTTCCGTAGAATACAGTTAAATTATTCCACACTTCAAACCCACATATCTAAAATATAGCTCGGTTATTTCAAAGGCAGGCACATAGATATTTTGGATATTTCTTACAAGTCTGAGAATTGCAGTTGTACACAAGTTTCAATTCAAAGAAGACTAGACCTCAGAACTGGTGTCCATCTCTGTTGCAATGGGGGGAAGTCAACCAACCAACAATCCAGGTGCAACTATGTTACCTCATTAAATCAACCCTGAGTCTTTTGAAGTACAGTAAAGTGCTTTATTTACCATCTGAATAATTAAACAGCACATTCTCTCTAAATTTTATCTTTAAAAAGTACAATTAAATACCAGTTACACTAAACAAATGACTTTCACATTCTAAAAAGGGGTCAACAGACCCACAGTTTTGATTCTCTTAGCAATTCAGAGCAGATCAATTCAACATATTATGCTTTGACAATTGGGCGTGTTTTTTTTTTCCATGGTAATAGCGCCAGAACAAACAGTCAAAACATACAGAATTTTCATCCTCTTCTATTTCAATTAAGCTTTAAGCACTGGTTTATTAAATTGCATATCAGGCCATGCGAGAATACAAAGTTGACAAAAAGGCCAAGGCAGAATTCAATGAAAAGCTATTGCTACGGACGCTAATAACATAGACTTAGCTGGTACTTCCTAAAACCTACATTTCTATTTCATTATTCGTCAACTAGATATGAAAATTACATTTCAAGAGTCTGTCCTGTTTAGACTCTCTTGTTTTATAATTTGAGTGAACAATAAGCAATCAGTGAGGGAACTGATAGCAACTGACTAATCAGAATTGTCTCATGACAATGACAGGTAAAAAAACTGTTAAATCTCTGACCGGCACAAAAAGGCAAATTTACACAAGCACTGAGGAACTCATAGTCATAAGGCCAGATAAAGCGAGAAACGAAATTTTTCAAACCTATTGAAAACCAGTAAGCATCTTCACCAATCTATTTTGCTGATAAACCAACTATTTGCAAATAAACCTTCAATGCAGAGTTAAAGTATAAGGAGAATAACACCAGCCTACAAAAGTTCACCAGTTTAAAGGCTGCAATAAAAAAAATACCAATGGTGGCATATCAAATATCATCAACACACATACACATGCGCATACACATGATGCTTAAGTCCTAGGACAAAACTTCTTTGCAAAAATCAATATTGTATTAATTTCATGTGATTGATGAAATAAAAAGGTAAGAACATGATCAAGGATAGGTTTGATTTGGGTAAAAAAACTGAAGTGTATACAGACCCGGTAACCGGGAACAAAGTCACGAAGTATACAGACCCGGTAGGGGAACTCTTTTGTGATGTCGGAAAGTTTCAGTGCCCAGACCCGGTAGTGTGTGTGTGTGTGTGTGTGTGTATGTGTGTGTGTGTGTGAAAGAGAGAGAAAGAGAGAGAGAGAGAGAGAGAGAAAGAGAGAGAGAGAAAGAGAGAGAGAGAGAGAAAGAGAGAGCAGGGGGGAAGTGCTAGCAAAATGTATATATGACATGCCCCAGTTGACAAGAGGGAACGAGAGAAAGATAGAGTGGGAAATAGGTGGGGAGAAAGAAAGACAGAGACAAACAAAGAAAAAGAGAATGCGAGCAATACACAGAGACAGAGGAGAGAGAGAGAGAGAGAGAGAGAGAGAGAGAGAGAGAGAGAGAGAGAGAGGGTGACTGCTCGATTGAAATTATGACTTTGTTCTTTTCTTCAAATTGTGATTTCTCCAACTCCAAAAACGGAGGAAAAACAATCGTTCATCGAAAAGACATCCGCAATCTTCATTTAGATCTAGATCTAGGCTAACCTCGCAACTTGATCAATGATTTATGTCTGTCTGTCTAGATCTAGACCTAGGCCATAGAGCTGGAAGAACCTAGGTCTAGGCCTACCCCAAGGAGCTTTTACTGTAAACTCCTTGGGCTACCCTAAATCCCTGAGCCAAGAGGACGCTGAAACTTTCCGAAATCACAAAAGAGTTCCTACCGGGTCTGTATACTTTGTGACTTTGTTCCCGGTTACCGGGTCTGTATACACTCCCCCCCCCAAAAAGAAAGCAAAACCTTTTGGAAAATTAACTGACATGGGGGCGGGGGGGGGGGGGGGGGGGGTCTTATCTTTTGATGAAACAATGAACAAGAACTTTCATATTGGGATCTGTAATCCTGGAGACAAAATGAAAAAAAAAAAAGTTTCTGAAAGGAAAAAAAAAAGGGGGAACGTGATTTCCTGCCCACAAGAACGTTTCAGTACACTCAAGGTGCACAACTTACATTGCAAGATAAAATGAAAATGTTTTGACAAACTATAAGATATGATATCATAAAACAAAACATTTCATAGTTTGTGTAACTAATTGTCATCACTTTGTTACAACCCAATGCTTGACTCTTATTTCAATCTCTTTAACTCACATAAAAACTTGAACAAGTCTAATAAAAGAAATAAAAGTAAAAGTGATAGAGCCAGCTTCAAGTTAGAAAACATTTAAACATATATGAAAAATCTTGAGGAAATATTTCTAGATCTCAAACTCAAAGAGAATAAAAATACGCGTTATGTTATAATTATAACATATCAAACGTATGGTGTCAAAATTGAGTTTTAATCTTCAGCAAAGCATTGAGGCAACTCTTGGTGAAAAAAAATATCATACATGTTCAATGAAGGGAAAGACTGTAGTCATAGTTGCATCTTTCATCATTTCACATCCAGTCCTGACAAAGCATTGCAGAGCACAAACACTCACAAAAACAACTGATGCACATTTTTTGTCTAACCCTGCATCGCATGAGTTAAACATACATACATTTATATTGCAGTAAATAATTGGGAAGAGAACAACTCTGAATTTCTATCACACCACAAACGCACATCCCTTGGGACACTGGAAAACACATTCTAAGCTCACCATGAAGACATCAATAAGAAACGAGTGATTGGAATGAATACACGTACTCTTTATTTGAGGATGTAGTCAAATTGAAATCAAGAACAATGACGTAACATAAAAAATTCAAAAGTAATAAAATTAGAACCAACAGAGACAACACGCGTGTAGACAAAGGTCAAGGTCATACTAAGTACAGAGCAGAAAAAAAAGAATCTAAATTTCAATAAGCAAGCAAAAATAACAAGCAATCTGATGCAACAAAGACTGGGGGCTGGAAAAAAAAAAGTAACAATAAAACTGAGAATTATAAAGGTCCTTATCTTATAATGCTTCCTTTTTTTACTTTTAGAAGTAAAACACTCCGCTAGTACTAGGACCACACCCAAGACACCGGTTGGAGAGGAAAAACAATCCAAGAAAGACAAGAAAAACTTGGAACCCACAAAGACTCCAAAGGTGAACATCTACCAGACAGCCAAGACTGAACCTGGCTGGGGTGAGGTGCAAGAAGCCATTATGTAAAACATAAAAATTAATGATGAAAACAAAAAGGGTCAAACTTCAGTTTTTTTAAACCATAACAATTTCAGAGAAAAAAATCTGAGATCCCTCTGACATTCAAAAACAATAAATAGTTGGACCCTATGAAGGCTAAAGTTAATAACCCTCAAAAGGTAAAACAAATTCAAGCCTACATCTAAATGTAGTCAATATTGCACCCACAAGCTTTGAACTTTGAATTCTATACACAAGCACTGACGTAAATCCCCGAACTTAAATATTGAAGTGATTTGATATCAAATGTTATCAATGTTAAAATTTACTACAAAAAAAAAAAAAGCAGCCGGGGAAGAGGAAAGAAGCTCAAATAGCAAGCCGATATACTAAGAAAGATGAAAACATTTGTTTTATTCTGTGTAGGCCTACTGTTCAGCAACATCTACACTTCCCAAAATGTTTTCATTTCTATGTGATAAATTGGGATACTTTATATATCCCAAACAACTGAACAACCGAAGCTAATTAAACGACTGCACTGTGCGAGTGACTAGCAGAAGTTTATGACATGACACTGAAAATGAGAGGAATGGAATAAAAGCTAAAGTAACTTGATGATAAACGTGTCACAACGTGGTAGAATCAGGTGTTGGTCACTTTTTGGGCATGCAGAGTTATTGGTATCATCTTAAAGCTTGTACATTAGTCTATCTTACAATGAAAAAAATCCCATCTGTCTTGAATAGACTTCGAGATATTTGTGATTGAACGAGGTGGGGTCTCTTGGTTTCAGAGGTAAAGTTAGCGAGAAAATGGGCCAAGGATTGGTGATTTCCATAGATTGAGAGTCCATGGAAAATGAAAATTTAAACTTTTTGAGCCTTTAATAAACATTTTTCTGTAAAAATCCTCTCAAAAATGTGTTTTCAAATCGACATAAAAGGTCTTGAGCCAAAAAACAAAAATGCAGTGCAACTTGGCACACCAGCTGAAAAATGCAGATAACTTCGATTTTGTTATTATGACAAACGCCTGATTTCACCACGATGCCTCACAAATAATAGTTACATGTATAAATAAATGTATAAAAAGAATGAATCTCAATGGGTTGAGACATGAAAAGTACTTTTAATCAACCTAAAAACAAAACTGTTATGTACAGACCTATAGTAGCAATATCAGAGTAACTCACAGGTGATTTCATTCTTCATCCTCACATCATTCATCTTATATCTTATAATAATAGTATGGCATGCGTTGGTTTCCCATCCCTTCTAACACTGTACGGTAGTTTAAGAGGGGGCATCTCTAAATGAATCATCAATGACTTCCTCTTCTTCTTTTTCTCGTTCATCTTTAAACGGACATTCCTATCTCTAGTAAGAAGGCTGCTGTTCATCGCAGGTCTTTCAGGGACCTTTAAAGTTTTGGGGCTCCCTGCCTAGGGTTGGGTCAATGTTTCCTTTCAAGACATTCATTTCTTAATAGAGGACCAAGTCAAGGAGTTAACGACCCTTGAACACTACCCTGCCAAACACAAGTTCACAAGCTTGTGGATTTGAACCAAGGCTATCCGCATCATAGCTCTCCATGATACCAACCAAGCAAGCCAGCTCATTGTCTGAGATCTACGCCTACAAGCAAGACAGGACTGTATGTGGTGGGGTTGTGGCAAGAAAACGCAGGATAAAAAACAAAAAAACCAGACACAGAATGAGAGTGGGAGAGAAAGAGGGAAAAAGATTTCCCCACTTATATCGTGCAAAAAAGAACTTTCTCTCACTAATGTAAACTTACCCAAAAGAGAAAAATGTACTTGATTATTCACATATTTCTGCTGATCGATGCATTTAGCACAATTGTACCCTTGGCATTGCATTGACTTACAATTACTATAAAAATCAGCATCCTCATAACCATTAATTGGAATCAATATAAAACAAACAAATGGAAAAACCCCCCTTAGAACTGTAAATAAAAAGTATGGAGACTATATAAGCTAGGAACAACAAGTGCCCTTAGAGTGGTAGGTTTTTTAACTCCATGACGCATAGTTTTAAGAAAATGTGTTTCAAAGATTCTCAGTCTTGCAGCTCAAATGCATTACACATTATTTGTTCAAAGGTCAAACTGAAAAAAAAAAGGCTGGTGTTTCGAGCCTTTGACAAAGTGTGCACGACATCTGATCAGTGTCAGAAAACATGAGGTGTGTAACTCAGTTCTTGCAAAAAGTGGCTACAACCCTGTCATTTTAAAGGTGCAAACAAGCAAACAAAGATACTGAAACTATTTCATCTCCTAGCACCCTGGCTATGTATAGATAAGACTAGTACACAATACAACATATCACGATCATTTGAAAGTGGAATACAAGGAAGAAGAGCTTCTTCTACTGTTTCTGGGCATCCTTTGTGTAGCAGGAGTAGTGGACAAGGTGGCCGTTGGGGTATCTGCAGAACACACTGGAAAGAGAGAAAAGCAAAACATAGCTGAGAAGGATTATGTCATGACATATTTTTAAAAGATAACTGACTCAGAATAGGTTATTTCATGAAGAAAAACTGGGCTTGTAATTCTGAGGTTGCCAGTCCGGGGGTTCAAGCCCCAGGCAAAACTTTGTCTACTTGGAAAGAGTACTTTACAAAATTTTTTTCCACTTCCCCCAGGTGTCAATGGGTACCTAGCCATAGGCAGCAAAAAATTTTGTCAGTATGTCAGTAACGTGGCTGCTTGCATTGAATGTTTCCAAGGACGCTGAGATTGTCTCAGATAGTTATCAAGTCTGCTGGGGTAATAATATATAGAGATGTAAAAACATAGAAGTTGCTGTTGAGTGGGAATTTGCACTATACAAATACTAGTGCTATTTACTATTATTATTATTATCATTATCATGATTCTGATTATGAAACTACGATGTCCTTGTACATCCCCTTCCCTCACTCAACATGTAAAAGGGCCTGCCCTTTAACACCCCCCACCCCATTTACGGTCCTAATCCTGATTCAAATGATACACTTAACCCCCACTGAGACACACAGCCGGGGACAACAAATTGCTTAAAAAAAAATATTTATCCCATTCGGCCTTGAAACAAGACATCCACATATCAAGCAAGTGTGTATCACTTGACCATGTCAAGATAACGGGCACTCAACTGTGCACATACATAGATATAAGGCAACGGGTGCATGTACTTTTAACATCTAGCTCCCTCTGTTACTGGTAAGAGTTGTGATGTGGCCCCGAGGCAGCCCACTTATCTCAGTTTTAACAGGCATTTGCAGCATAATGATTGCGCTCTTTGTAACTGCACGCAAGAAATGTGAGTTCGAATTCCAAGACAGGATTTTTTTTTTTTTACAGAGTGTTTCAGTCTGTTTGCTGGGATGTTGTTTTTCACTCAGCCCAGGTTAGCCCTGACAGGCAGAGTCAAAGCAGCCAGCCTTGACCGAAGGGCTCGAACTCAGGTGGCCGTTGGATCAGAGAAATTAAGCAGCCTGCCTCTAATAAATGATTTAATTTGTTTTTGTTTCTTTTGTTTTAGTGAGAGTTGTACTGCGCTTGCAACAGAATACGGTCATATAAGTGTCGAAGGTTAGAAGAGTTACAAAGGATTTTTTAAAGTAAGAATTTTACGGCACTTGCGACAGAATCAAGTTATGTAAGTATCAAAGATTAGAGGTGTTACAAAGGAGTAAAAAAAAAAAAAAAAAAAAGGACAGATAAGGACAATAGACTTTTGATAGGAAAGAAGGAGCAAATCACACAAGAGCACCCGCCAATCACCCATAATGATTTGATTTGAGTAAAGGGGGACGTACAACACACACAAACACATTACCTCTGTCCTTTGTTATATTAGAGGTTTTACGGCGCTCGCAACTGCATAAGGTCATATGAGCGCCAGAAGATTAGAGGTGTTACAAGAAAGTATCAAACATAAAAAAGAAGGAGGGAAGATAAGGACGATAGATGTTTGATAGGAAAGAAGGAGCAAACCACACCAGAGCATCCGCCAACCACCCACTTACCTCTGTCCTATTCTCTTCCTGCACGACCGGCAGATGTCTTCGTCCGTCACATTCACCTTCACAGACTGGCGCCGGATCAGCTGATCCGTGACCTGAGGGCACAACGTGGAGGTTCATTATTGTAGCCCTATCGTATGGTACGGGATCAAAGCCCATTTCAACACATGAAAGTTATCCAAGAATGAAAATCTCAGAAGTTAACGTCCACCTCCTGCAGAAGCACACCGACACAATAACAGTCATTTTGTGCTGGGAAAGAGCTAGTTTTAGTAAGTAGCATTTGCAGCATGAATAGGTAATATTAATGCTGAAGATTAAAGGTGCCACTAGAGAGTAACATACACAAAAAAAAAAAAAAAAACTTAGAGGAGAGATAAAGACAATACTTTTTGCAGGAAAGAAGGGGAATAAGCAACTGCAGAGAACCAGCCAACCACCCAAGAAAAAGCAAGACAGACACATATTATCAACAGAGCGAAAAAAAAAAAGAATTAAGACCCACCAGTGACACCATGCAACAATCTAGACAAACAAAAAGAACAGGAAAAGAAGAGACGAAATCCTACCAGTGGCACCTTCCAACCACCCGCATCCCCCCCCCCCCCCATGTGGGCGGAGAGCCACTTTGAACATTCCATAAACCACAAAAAGCCAAGAACGTCCTTTTGTGGATTCAAACTAAGGCAATCCGTGCCAAGGTCCAGAACAAAACGAACTGAGCCGACGACGCACCCATGAATAATCAGTAATTACGACATGTATTCAAACATGAGTGCCCATGACAGACACTTCATTATGTGTGCTTCTTCTCCTTCTCATACAAGTACATGTACTTTCTCCGTCTGTGTCAAGGCATTCTTTTCAGATATTTTTCATTTTGAGCGTAGGTGCATATTATGTGTGGTGTACAGCTGATAATACATGTATACACAGTGGAGCCCGCTTTAACCCAACACGTTTAATCCGAAAACAGTGGTACACCGAAAGAAAATGAACGTGCATGTGTATGAGTATGTGTGTGTGTGTGTGTGTGTGTGTGTGTGTGTGTGTGTGTGTGTGTGTGTGTGTGTGGCCTAGAAGTAGAGGTGTTCGCCTCTCATTCAAAGGTCTCCTTTTCGAAACCCCGGGTAGCGACGGAAAACATTTTTTTCTCTAAAATTGTCTTCTTTCACCTCCTTTCCAGCTCTCTAGCAATGTTCTGTCGTCTACTTTCGTCTCCACTTTCTGCCCCCACCCCCACACCTCCTTTGCCCCCTCCTCAGGGCTTCTGACTCTTTCTGCAGCCTTTCTACTTGGCTCCTTTTTATTGCTGTCTTTCAGCCACACCCCTGATTTTCTGATTGGAAAGATCTATACCTAGCCTTCTCGGAAAAGGGCGAAAAATCTCGGAGATCCCGAGAGCAAGTTGCGCACGTTAAAGATCCATTAGTGGTCTAAAATCGATAAGAGTTGGCTTCGGCCGCCACCCGCGCAAAATTCAAAATTTTCTACCTACCGAAAATGTTTAAATGTGTCCCGCGCGCTCATTTTTTTAATGACCTTATGCAGTTGCGAGCGCCTTAATAAAACACCTACCCCC